ATGATCCCCAACCTTCTCATTTTAATGCGTAGTTGATTCGATAGGACAATTTTTGTTCGAAGGTTGGCAATGGATGCAAACTACTTGTGATTGCCTCTTGATCGTGAGCCGATCTCAAAAAAATCAACGACCAGCTCGAGCATCTGATTCACCATAGGTGATTGTGATTGTAGTTAATGCTGCCCATATTTGATTTGAATAAAAATCAGACTTCAATAAAATTTGATATAATATATTTAAAAAAAAAAGGTAAAATATGTGAATTTCATAAAATATATAGTTGAAAATGAATTAAAGGTCCGTTTGATAGGCATCCAAATTCCATGGAAAATGGAATTTATTTTCCAACTTCTACTTTTTGCCATGTTTAATAGGTTTTTTTTCCCATGAAATTCTCTTTCTTAGTTGTCTCGAAATCCGGGCTTTTCTTGATTTTCCTTGAATTGGTGAGAATTGGAATTCTTTATTATTGTAGCACTTTTTATATATTTTTTCGATTTATTTATTTATTTTATTTTTTTATGGCAATGGAAACAAATTCTAAGAATTATTGTAAAAAGATATTTCTCTTTGAAGTCAATTTTCATATAAAACAAAGTCAAACGAACACCAAAAGATAGATGATTTTCTTGATATTTTTTTGTATGTTGGCAATGGAAACAAATTTTATCCCTAATACCTGTAAAATCTATCTCTTTAATTGACAATTTTCATGTAAAATAAAGTCAAACGAAGATAAAAAACACATTTATTTCAACATTTTTTACATGAAAAATTATCCCAATCAAACACAATAATTTATAATTCTCAAGAAAATAATTTTTAGGCAATTTAATTCCCTGAAATTCATTTTCAATTCAATTCAATTCCGTCTTTACAATCAAATGGACCCTAAAAAAAAATATTTAGAAAAATTAGAATTTTACTATGTGTACAACTCCCTCATAGTAGAAAGCTAGCATTAATTGGTCCCTTAGGGAAAAAGGTCGAATTAACTTCAATTTTTTTAATTTCATTCATTATTATTCAGATGAGATATTCTTATTTATTCTAATATTAAAGGCCCGTTTGGTAGGGATTTTGAGAATTGATTTTTTGACCGTTAGAAGAAAAGTGGGGTCCACATGTGAGAGAAGAAGTCAAAAATTACGGCTTGAATAGTAAAATAACGGTCAAAAAATCAAATTTTTGGGGCAAAAAATCCCTACCAAACGGGGCCTAAGTATTCGTTTGATATGATTTCTACTTAATTTTACTTTTAACTTTTTTTGTACTAAAAAAATTATTCAAACAAGCTCAAAAGCAATTTTTTAGATTCAGAAACAACTTTTGACTTTTCAAATACTCTATCAAACGGGTCCAAAAATGAAAAATTACTGAACAAAAAATCTAGTCGGCAAAATCAAGAAGTTAATGAAATTTTCTCCTAAAGATATGTTTGGTAGGTGACTGTGGTATGCGTATACGTAAAATTTATCTTTATTTATGCTTTATAGTATTATCTATTTCTATTCAAGTTCATTAGTTGAATGAGCACCATAAGTGATCTGTTATTAAACAATTCATTTATTGAACGAGAGATGTAAAAGGATAATAATTTATTTCTTAAAAGCAAATTAAAATTTCCATCTTTATTGCGATTCATCTCCCTTAAAAGTATATAATTCGTTAAATCTAACCAAAACTCGAGGGGATGAAAATCTATCATAAACTTGTAATTGTGTTAATATAAGTAACTGTTTTAACTTATAAGTGAAAAATCATGTATTCTTGAAAAGAATTATTATAAAACTTAGCTCTTCCAAACATAGTTATCTTTCAATGGGAAAATCCAAAATACTAATGATTTTCAAGAAATTTAGGCTGATATATTTTTCCTCTGCAATCTTCCATACAGAACATGATCCTACAGAACATGATCCTGAACCTTCTCCTTTTAACGCGTAGTTGATTCCATAGGACAATTTTTGTTCGAAGGCTGGCAATGGATGCAAACTACTTGTGATCGCCTCTTAGTGGCGGATATAGCTATTGGCCAGCTAGGGCGGCTTCATCGGAACTGCCACCGTCGGGAGTCAGGCCCTTTTTTTTTTTTTGCCCCTTTCAGATTGATCTGTCGTTCAGTCCTGTTGGCTTGGGTGTTGGCTGTTGGGCCTCTATTTTTTTTTTTTTTTTAAATCAGGCCCAAGTAAAGAAGCCCAAATGAGCTTCTCCATGCCATATAACCAGCAACCCGAAAACAGAGTCCCAGATTTTCCCCAAATTGCCACCACCTACCAATCTACCTCTACGGCTCTACCCATCTACCACCACTACGGCAGCAGCCAGCAGACGGCACTGCCAGGTCCGCCACCGATTAGAGTCGAGAGGAGCAGGCGAGCAGCACTCCAGACTCCAGTCCAGCAGGCAGCCCGCACTTCGCAACAAGAATGCAAGATTCTTTTAGTTATTTCCCATTTTTATTATCATTTCTAAATAAATAAATTGTGCTATCTGCAACTTTCCATCCCTTTTCGTTATCCTCTGAGATTTTAGTGTTAAGACTTTATTGTTTGCTTTCTTGATTGCTGCATTTTGAATGACTATTGAAGGTTTACACTTTTTTGTATTTTCAAAATTTATCTCTGTTTCGCGCGGTTAGTCGCTAACAATTAAAAATGATCAGACGATTGTGTAATGGACAAACCTCTTGAGACAAAGTCCCAAAAAGGGGTGTTCCGATTGTGTAAGGGACAAACCTCTTGAGACAAAGTCCCAAAAAGGGGTGTTCTTTTATTGACGATGATTTTACAATTGAAAATTAAAAACAACGTGCCTCCAAGGAGCGCAAGCATACGAGTTACTGAAAGAAAAATGTTTAAGTTTAAGTTAAGGAAATGAAATTTCATGTTCTCTGTTCGAGAGTTTTTGATTCGGTCCTTGCTTCTATGTCTTTTCTCCCTTTTATACTTCATGGACGATATTTTTGTGATCAACCGCCCTAAAAACTGCTTGATCGTCCTATAACTGCCCACTTTCCTCGTAATGGCCAACTTGTCATGAAAACTGCCTTTTTTAATTGCTGTCATTACTCTTCATCGTTCAACTGCTTTCGATTGAATTTCTTGAATCGTGGAACGTAATAGGGCTGCTTTAATAACTGTTTTGATAACTGCACTTCTTGATAACCACGACACTTTATGTTTGTTAAGACATTGGGCGACTTGAAGGTTTGGACGAGAATAGAGTAATAGCTCCGGGCGACTGTATGGCATTCCATTCGCTCAGATTCTGGACGACTTGCAAACTTGGGCGATGACGTTACCGCGTTCTTGGGCCTTCATCTTAATTTGTTTGATTGGGCTTCGTTCTTTGAGCTATCTGATTTGGGGATCCTCCAATTGGGCTTCACTCCTTGGATCGTTCGATTTGAGCTGAATTTTTATGTGTCAACAATCTCATAACTGATATGAATTATGTCGAGCAAAGTGTATTCTATATTTATTTATGTGTAACATTGGGCTCTTTTCTGTGCTTATAGGCTATAGCTATTGGGTTCAGAAAAATAAGCTATGGTAGCTGAAGGTTAACCTTTCACCTTTGTTTTGATTTTGTTATTTTCTTCTAATAAAACTTCCCTCCAAGTGCCTTACGTATTTTTTTCCCCCAACAATTCAACGTATAGACAACAGAGACTTAATCAGTCTTATTTTATCAGATTTTCACGCATAGTACATTGTTTCGTTTTCTGATTTGCTAGATGAAAAATATTGTAAGATTCTGAAGATCTAATGAAATTGGTGATATACCTAGATGACTGTTAGAACTAAGTATTGGAGTGGTACATATATTGAATAATTTTTAATATTATTTAATTTAATTTTAATAAACGATCGGTAGCCGACCGGATTGGGTTTTTACGATCGTTGATCGTCGATGGTCAATGGTCAAAATCAACCTCCGCCCTAACTGAACGTTGATGCTGGATTCGCCACTGCTCTTGATCGTGAGCCAATTTCAAAAAAATCAACGATCAGCTCGTCAGCTCGAGCATCTGATTCACCATAGGTGATTGTGATTGTAGTTAATGCTGCCCATATTTGATTTGAAAAATAATCAGACTTCAATAAAATTTGATAAAAAATGGTAAAACATGTGAATTCTATAAAATATATAGTTGAAAATAAATTAAGAAAAACATTTTTAGAAAAATTAGAATTTTGCTACGCGTACAACTCCCTCACAATAGAGAGCTATCAAATTTTTTATTGGTCAGGAATCCCACTTTATTGTGGGGCCATGACAGTCGCAAATTTGGTGCCCCCTGCCCACCTATTACCAGTGCCCCCTATTTTAGGGGAAGCCGATCAAAGGGGCCCTTCAAGACCCCTGTTTGAGTATCAAAACCCTTCATCGCAAGGGGCATATAAATAGCAAAACCCAAAAATTAAGACCAAGCAACACATGGAGGCAAGTACCATCAAATGACGGGAGCTGCCTGAATTTGAAATTAAAATTTTCTTTTTTCGAACGAAAATTAGATGTTAATTTAAAGAAAATAAAAATTACGAGGCTTGCAATCCTGCTCCGCTCGCCCAACTAAAGGCAAGTCAGTCCCGAAAAATTTACAAGCAATCTATCTCGTACTCAGCTCGCTTGGTGGGTCAACTCAACATCTGATACCAGAGATGGACCAGCCGAATCAACTCAGCTCGATCCATTGCCATCATTATATCAAAGTGATATGCAAAACACTTATTCTTATTTTTCTCAAAGGTATAAAAGGCAAACACTTAATCAAACCTAAACAATCAAAAAATATAACAGAGGAAAAAGGAAAGCAAGAAAATTGACCTCCCACATCCACAAAGATATAGCGTGTTCTATTGAAATGACAAATTCTCTTTGCGTCCCATGAAGTTTTGGAGTACATGAAAACACGACGAAAGACAAGATTTTAACGTTTTTATCATCGTTAATAGTATGTATTAAAGTCAAATCAACCACACATGCCACTAGAATGCATAGGAGACAAGTTATATATATTTACATCTTCAAGTCTTCATTAAAATAGCAAACCCTGAAATATTTACAGAATAAACAAGCAGTCCTATACTCTTGATTACCTTAACACGATAGACAATCCATCTCCTAATTGAAATTAAGTAGCTCAAAGAAAAGCCAAAAAACACCAAGTAACAAAACATAACTCTGACAATGATGAAAAAAAAGAAAAAGAAAAAAAAAAAAGGAGGCTTCCACCAATGGTGTTGATAGAAAATTTCAGCTGCACTGTAGCTGACTATCCAGTTTATTTTGCTATAAATTTATTAGAAAGAACAGGCCCAGAAGGACGATTTAGCAAGCCTGTAAAAGATGCCCCTCAAGATTTCTTTGGCAAGGATGATCTTGGAAGGATCGAGTTGGCAAGATCTTCATTCAGCTTGACAGGTAGAGGTGGCATCTGCTTCATTAATTCCGGCATGTCATTTAAGCTGCATTCAAATAATTCAGTTCAGCATTTTGGAATTATTCCAGTCTGTTATATAATTAACACATGATGATTTGTTATAAAAGCTCGAGTCCAAGAGAAGTAATTGTGGTCTACTCGAGCTTCATGTGTGTAGCTTTATGAATTTAAATATCCATGATCTAACCTTCATAAGATGTAACAATTACTGTGTCACAGTACTGTTGGTTTTGGAAGGGCACATATACGTGGTTGAGGAAGGGTTCATTCCTATGCTTGCACATTATTATTTCAACCTTCAAACGCAAAAATAGGCGTGGACATTCATTTCTGAAGACAGTTAAAAACAGGCCCGGACATTCATTTCTGAAGACAGTTAAACTACATAGTAGCATTCTTATTGAGACTAGAACTCATTAAGAAAATATATTTATGATCTAATCAAATACGCAGCATTTCCACTACTTTTCTTTTTGGATTTTTTCATTTTGGCAGTTTCCATTCCTTTTGCTCTTTATTTGGGGAGAGATGGGGGCATGTTTCACAGTTTAGGGAGGTGTCCCAAAAGTAATATCTAGGGAGAAGGAGATAATTCCTTATTGAGGACTACTCTATGGTTTTCGAACTACAGGATCCGAAAGCTAGTGGCATCTGTTTCCTTTTCTGCATTTATTGAAATTTATTCTTCCAAGAAACTGATCGAGACCAAAACAAGAGAAAACATCCACATCAAATCCTCGAAAGTCATACATCCACAGGGGCGACAAGCTCTATAATATTAGTCACAACTAGTATATAATATCCTACCAAATATGTTTACAGGATTCAGAAGATCACCCTTTTAAGGTGCTAAACGAGCTTACCATGACCATAGATTAAGAACGTAGCTAAGACTAGGTAGTTCTTGGATTCAACAGTCATGTTTCTGTTTTTTCTATCTACACCAACATATCAAACCTTGATCCCGTTAGCTTCAGTTTCTATATTTGGGAAATGTTTATAAAAGGTTCAAATTTATAAAAATAAAACTGAGTGGTGATAATACTTGTCAGTCCCTCGAAATGTGTGGACAAAATTAAAGGTTTGTAAACAAGTTTATAAATATGAGCCAAACATAGGCAATTTTATAAACTCATTTGCATTTTGCATAGACAACATGGTTGATATTGACTTTTCGTTTTTTTTTAAGGTTTTACATTGATTACTTCCTCTCTACAGCCTTGACCAATAACATTGCAGATAGAACTCTTCTCTTGCCTTATCAATGAAATGTTTAAAATTTGAAATTGAAGACCAAAAAGCATCTTAGCCTATGTTTTACCCCCATTTTTCCAAAACTCATTTTCAACCACATATTCTCCCATAAAATAATATTACACGTAAATCGAAAAATTTTCCTTATTTTTTAACTACACATTCTCCCAAAAATCACTATTCCACAGCTCATTTCCCCCCAAATTTCCATTAAAATAGAGCCCACACAAGGGCTTAATCTCTTAACCATTGATAACAGGCAAATTAATTATGAAGACCAAATCAGGAAAAACACATTTAAAAATAAAGGGAAAATTTACTGAAAATAAGTATGGAAATCAATGAATGCATCTATGCTCTACTAAAGATTCGCACATGCCAGGAAGGGACACAAACATATAAATGTAAAGTGTATTTAACGTACTCGCTTAAGATAGCCAGGATATTGTTTCGAGCTTGGCAGAAGAGATTGATGTTCTCATTTATCTGCATGCAAATACAACAATAAAAGTTTAAATAAATATCATGAATCACTGCTATGGAAGAAGCTTCCCAGTTATGTTTGAAACTTTGATGAGGCAGACAAGGGAAGGCACATATAATATGGCTATTTAAGTATATGGAGCAAAAGGTGTGCACAAACATGAATTAAATAAGAAATCCATATTCACATAAATATCTTAATAAGATGCATATTCACAAACTAATATTATTAATGCAGTAGAATCTCTTAGCCCCCGTTTGAGCCACATTATTTTAAAAATGAGAATGAAAAATATAACAGTTATGAGTCTCACACAAGAAATAAAAAGTCAAATATGGTGACTTGATGTAATGAATAACGGTCATATTATTCATTTTAATGAGAAACTAATGGGGCTCAAACAAGGCCTCAATTTCCTATGTAAGAGAATTTAATCAATCCTTCACTGAGTTCAATATTCAGATCAGGTCACTCATCATTTGACAAAATCTAACTACTATATCCATCAGTCCAGAAGCTTAAACAACTAGTATTATGCAATCAGCAATAATTATTGTCCACAAAAATTGAAAACAAAGTGAGTTGGTTGGATGTCCTAGCATATAATGTTAATCCACCTTATAATTCCAGTTTAACTTATATTACACCGGACAAAAGGTGCATCTACATGATATTTGGAGTCCAATTGTTCCCTGCTGAAAGATATTAAGCCCGGTAAATTGCCAAAAATGAATTCTCATCCAATTGCTTAAAAGCAATAAATTAAGCCCATGTTTGGCCTCCATTTTCTAAAACTCATTTTTTCCCAAAATCATTTTCAACCCACATTTCATCGATTTTTATCTAAACCAAACAAGGTCTAAATAAGACATCTTTAAGCAACCAGATATTTGTCACTATGTCATTATTCACCGAGATTCACATAGGGTTCACATCCTTAGAATTTCTAATTGATAGATACATCTTCTGAAAAGAAATTATATATACTTAAAAAAAAAAAAAAAAAGAACTATTATACATCACCTTGAAAGCAGCAAAGTTTGCAGATATTTGATCCAGGGCTTGAGCACTTTGCTCAAGAAGCTGTCCAGTTGCTCCTCCAATGGCTGCAATTCATAGAATGTACTCTTCATTTTTTGATAGCTTTTTCAGTAGCTTGCAATATATATATGAATTGTGGACTGCAAGTTTACTTTGTGCATAAATAACTCGAGTAAAAGTTAAAATAGACCAGCAGGGGTTCTGGAAAGGATATTATATGGGATAATTACATTTTAATTGCATTTTTTGCTTTCATGGATAAGCTAAGTGTGGCTGCAACAAGCATGATGACGTAATGAGAGTGCTGGTGAGAGTGAAAAATTTTCCTATTTGAGGCCAATAAATTTAATCAACTAGGTTGTCAAATATACATGCTTGGTGGAAGCACTTTCACAAGTTAATGTTTAATATATATTGTAAAATATATATTTTTACAGTTCTTACTTTTCTACTTATTTCAACATGACAATTGTGCTTAGAATAGTGTCTCCGGGGAAAAAAGGATAAACCAGGACTAGTTCTCTATAGATCTGTGTTTCCTAGGCACAAGTTTTCTTGGGATATTTGGATGCTGATAGGTCTTAAGGGAGATTGAAAAGGAAATTCTTTAGCCTATGGCAACCTTGTTGGGCGCTTTATTCGAATTCCTTTAAAAATCATTTTAAGAGTTAAATGCATTTATAATGATCTGTGAGTATCTAAAATTAGAGATGAATCAGAATCTTGTGAAAGGAACAGATTTACTTGAGCTATAATTAGGCCACTACTCAAGAACAAACATATGACATTGCGATTTTCTACCAATTGCAATGCAGAAAAATTGATACCGATTTTTCATTTAGCTATATGCTTTTTATTTTTTTAATTCACACTGTGAGATTTTTATTTCATACCTAAGAACATAAAACCGACGCATCGTATGGAACACTAATTATTTTGCTCGAGAATGAAAAATTAAAAGCTTATTATCCCGTATAATATCCTTTCCAACTGTTCGAGATCATTAAAATAGCACCATCCTCTTTGCATGGGCAGGGGTGTTGAAATACCTTGTAAATGCAGAGAGAAGAAAAAAATATTGAGAAGTAAATTTTGTTATAGATAAAAAGAAAAAGAAACAAAATTTAGACCCCAGATTATCAATTAGAAGGCGCAATCATAGGAAAGGGCAAGAGAAAGCCATATGTCATTACTGATAAAAATAATATTTACTTTCTAAAAGATTCTAGAACAGGAATTGTGAGATTTTTATTTTGATAAATGAAGCACAAACGGGTAGTAACATTGATCCACAAGAAGTTCAACAAAATCTTTAAACAGTTTAAGATGATTTGGCAAAAGCTTAAGCAAAGAGCAATAAGTGAAGCATAATGCAAAGTTGATGGGTGCGTCTGGACCAACCTTTATACGAAATTCCATCATCACTGTCCATCGACATCGCTGATTGAGCATATGGAGGAACATTGGAGCGGTTTGCAACTTGCGATGATTTTGGCAAAAAATCTGTAGCTTTTTCCTGAGGATCCCAAAAAATGAAATAGAAATTATTTAATGGGAAAATCTACTTAAATCAGAAATGACCAAAAACAAAAGATTAGAGTACTCTGTTTTCAAGCACCATGGCTATGGGGTTATACAATCAGAAGACTGTACTAATAGAATAGTTTTGAGAGATCGATGGATGCAAATGCCTGCAGCACTATTTATACTGAAGATTCTTTTGCATTTACTATTTCTGAGGATAAGCTCAAATGGATGGTGGGCCTAGTTGACAGCTAAAAGGTTCAATGGCGTAGTTATCCGAACAGAAATACATTAATTATCATCCTATCCATTGCTCAAGGACGTTCTCGTGCTTACCAACAACATAATCAAGTTATATGGATCAATAAGGTAAATAAATGAAACCAAACAGGACTTAAAGAAGAGTGGGAACGTGATAACCACCTTCACACCAGAATTATAATTTTCATTTTAAGAAGAAATAGGCCACGAAGCCTGTGAATAAGTGTCCTATTGAGGGGGAAAAATCAAGGATTCCAATCTGTTTTCTAGTAATTAAGCAGAAACAATACCAAGATAAGCAATTAATCAGTTATACCATATTATGAGTCTGTTTGAAAGTGATTTTGAAAATTGATTTTTTGGTCGTTAGGAGAAAAGTGGAGTTCGTCTGTGAGAGAAGAAGTCAAATATGACGACGGGAATAGTGAAATAACGGTAAAAAAATCAATTTTGGGGGGGGGGGGGGGATCACTCCCAAACAGACTCTATAGTCATTCCCTCCTTGACAATAGATCAATGAGGGTATATCCTCAAAAGACTATACTAGCCTACCAGCTATATTAGAAAAACAAATGGCGTGTAGGTAAATTTTTTAAGAAATTAAAGGCCACGCTATAATCCCATGTCACCTTTAACCTTAACACACTCCTTCCAGTATCAGCTTTCCATTGTATGTCGCTCATAATCTCCCTAGAAACATACTCACCGGTCCTTTCAACCCTCTTGAATTTCCAGCTGCTACTTTCTTTCCACCAGACATGAGCAGAAGAAAGAGTAATATCATTCTAACATTACTCAAAGCTTCCCCCCTAAAGGCTTTAAATATCCAGATAAGCTCTTATTCTCATGTATCTCGTATATGTATACATTTGAATGATCACAAGAGGTTTGATACTATGCTAAAAAAAAACTACAATGAGACAATATATGTAACAAAGTTCCAATTTCAGTTTCAGAGAAGAAAGCTGTTCGTGTTTCTGCCTTTATAGTTTGTCAACTGTTGCCAACCTATTGCTTCACACAAGGAAGACAAAAAACCTTTGAATCCCTTTTGAACCATACCAGCTTCCACCAGAGTAGTACTAATGCACCCCTTTTCCTGTCAAACCTTCAAACACAGTGACATGAAGAGGGGCCACTTGTGATGATGTGCACACAAGCTCATCTTTTGCATTCATTCAAGGTATGAGGTAGATTGCAGTCACCTCAATCAATTGTCCTTGGTCTCCTGCAGTACTAACCCATCCAACAGAAATTTGAGTGCTATATACGCTATAATTTAACTTACAGCAGCTGTAAAGACAAATACTGCCTAGGAATGTCAGCATAGAAAACCAGATTTAATTGACCTAAGGGGTGCCAGTTATCATGCCACAGCTTTGGCAACCAACCATTCACACAGGCTCAATGGACATCATAACCTCTTCTACAGGCCGCAGCAGCTTCCTTCAAGTCACATATTCAATCTAGAGAACCAGATCTAATTGGCCTAGGAAACCTCGAGGGATGCCCATCACATGACTCAGGAATGTTCATTTACTTTTATTGAAATTTTAAATTTACAAACTAAAACAAATCAAGCTTCTACCTGATGCTGCAAACTATTGATCACTTACCCTGTTGAAAGCATTCATGAGAGACTAGAGATCACAAGCAAGTAACAACATCACCTCATACTGTTGACTCTAATATGCCTAAGTTGGACTAAGATGCAATAGTGAAGACTTGCCTCAATATCAATAAGGCAATCACTTTATTAAAGGCCCATTTTTTCATTGCCCTCTGTTTGTGTGTTGGGGGGGGGGGGGTTAATTATAAATTCAGTGCATGATACATACTATAAAGTCGCCACATCTAGATACTCTATCAAAACTCATATAACCAAAAATAACCATCATAAAACATATGATTTCAGTTGTTAATAAGGCTCTAATACATCAAGGAAGTGAGGAAGATCAATCTGAATCATTATTCTCTATATAGCAGAAATTGGAAGGCCACTTCTTATTCCGCGTTGACGTTATTACTAGGAGCATTAAGATGCCTAAATATATTATAGAGGTTCACGTAGTAAAAGAAGTCAATTGAAGTGTTATTAAGATACTAACATAAAATGTTAAAAGTGAGAGAGGTGACTCGTCCTTGAGCATTACATGGATAGCTGGGGACAGATAACAACATGAAAAATGTTGAAGTACCTTTTTATCTTTACTTTTCCTTGATGAATTGTGATCGTCTTTCCTTCGCTTGCCATTTTCCTTTTTCTGCGAACAGTGGAACGTTTAGGTCAAAATTGATGTAATTAGCTGAAAATTATAGCACGGATAGGATTTATGCAACTGCTAACTTTGCTCTTGCTCTTACGATTCCCCACCGACCAAATTTCATTTATTAATGAGCATGATGGACTTTGCTTCCAATTTTAATTCTCTGATTATATGTCTTCCATTTTTTTCAAGAATAAAAATTACGACTTCTCCAAAACAATCTGCCTCTGGTAATACATTAACCCTCTCGAAAAAGTGAAAATCAAACATGTAAATTGAATCTGGCATCATAAACTTGAAATTAAAAACAATATCCTCTTTCAGGGTAATCTCACACTGGCCTTAAATCCTTTACTCGGAGGTTCGTCACCACTGTTAAACAAGGCTCGAGGACTAACCATTCATTGTTAAAACTACAATATGATATGTAAATTTTCAATGTTACAACTATCTAAATTATCAGCATTAGTTAAACAAAGAAGAGAAAGTCATGTACGTACAGTCTGTACACAAGTTCATGCAACATTGGTGCCTCTTTGAAATTAAAACTATGAACTGAAGAGGAAATAAAAAAAGGAATTGAAGTTGGTCAAGAACCACATTGAATACCAATGAAGAAAGAAATGGTGATGCAGATAAAGGCAGAGATCAAATATTCAATTCACTTTATTATGTCCCTTATTTTATCAATATATTTTATTGTTCAAGTTAGGGGTTATTTTGACATTTTGGGTCGTTAAAGTTCCCATGCAATTTTATTATTTAAGCTAAAACTAGGATTGATCATTAGTTGGTAGCTTTTATATATTAATAAAGCTTCTGAAGAGTTTATTCAAATTTCGGTCCAAATTAGTATTTCTGTGTGAGTCAACAATTTGTGATGTTGGGTTCTTCAATTCTCTTCCACCTACGCCATCCGGTATCAAAGCTCAGCTCTGTCCTGAGAACGGTGAAACCCTCAATGGCAGAAGTTATTTTCGCAACGAGGATGCAAAACTACAAGAAGAGTTCTTTGTGATTAAGCTGATGAAGAAAAAATAACTGCATCGACATCTGGTGATGTTGAAAAAGCAAATTGATTAGCTACTACAATGGTGCAAAGGCTCAACACTTGTAGAGTCAATAGTAGTGGATGACAGCAACGGTGGTGACAACCTTTCCGTCACTCTCAATCTCGAACAAAGAATGGATAGAGTTTCAGGTCTGGGCTACAATTGCCCACCATTTTTGACAACGTAATCGATGAAGATGTAATGAAAGATTGAGTACAAGAAGATATAGTGGAGACTGTGTGGTGATGGTCAATGGGATAATGACTGCCAGAGTGGATGTCAAAAGTAATAAAATTCTAAAAGCTATAGAGGACCATTATGTTGTTAATGAGAAGATGAAGGACTATACGTGAATAAAGGAAAAGGGTTATTGATTTGCATTCATCCTAATATAGGAAAAGATTATTGATTTGCATTCATCATTACAAACGGAATGAACATGGAAAATATTCTTCCAAAATTGAAGTGCCATTATTATGGTAGCTAAAGGAATTAGTGATGATAGTTTGTAAGTACATATAATTGAATACTCGATTTCTTTCGCAACTCTTTTTCAGTATTTATTTTGGGGATATCAGCTTAATAGATTGGGGGTGGGATGTCTCCTAACAAGTGGAAGCTTAATTGCTATAGTATTTGAAAAGAATTTAATGCAACACTATGAAGAACCTTTTCTTCATGCCATGGGAAATATGGCAATGTGTTTGTGCGATGTCATGAATGGGTAGCATAATTTATTAGAGCATGAATTATTGTCTAATTTGCAACAACATTCCATGGAGAAGGGGTCACAAATTAAAAGAACCGAAATGAATAGTTTAAATCAATCTCAATGCTTGGCGCAATAAATGGATTTCATTGCTTTATTACCAATTCAATTACCATTACAAAATGTCAGATGAGAAAATAATTCAAGATTTGTGGGCGAATCTTCCTCATCCAGGTGATGATGATTGAGGTATACATAGAGATCAAATATTCGATTCACTTTATTATGTCCCTTAATTTATCATTTTGTTTCATTGTTTAATGAAACACTTTATTTAGGGATTATTTTAACATTTTAGACTGTTAGGATTTCTTGTGGCATTTTATTATTTAAGCTAAAACTAGAAGTTGATTATCACTCATTGTTTTTAAATATTAATAAGAATTTTGAAGAGTTTTTCAAATCTGTCTAAGTTGGTATTCGTGCAAGAGTCAACAATTTGTGATCTTGCACTCTTCAATTCTTGACACTTCCGCCTACATCACGTTGTTAACTGAGTCCATACCAACTGGATAGAGAGGGATAAAGAAGCTTTTCTGAAATAAGGGGACATAAGTTTTTTTTGTCTTGGTATAAGTCCTTTTTATGCATCATTTAATGATTTCCTCTTAAAAACCTTGTTCTCGATTTATGTTGATTTTGCTTTTGGACAATTAACACATGATTTTACCTTATGCAGATATCAGAAATATCTAGGTATCATTTATGATTACATACCATAGAAAAAGTTGTAGAAAAAGAAATATCCCATCTTCCCGTTAAAGTCTAGTCAGATATTTTGCATCCCTTACATAATTAAGGAGTTGCTATGCTTGTTTCTTTAAATGAAATTTAAAGGCTAGTTTTTTACGCGAAACTTAATATTTGAGAACTAGTTCAAACTCTCATAGTGTATGATCTACATAGAGGACTCAAAACATATGGATAATTTGGATTACTTATTATAATGTAAGATGGCTGAGGTGTAGCTTAATCAGGAGGTTTGTTTTAGTTGAATTTTCTAGGTAAGTGGGAAGATTTTTTTATTTTTATTTTTGATGACCGTGGATGTCTAAGCAAGCTTACGCACACCTCGACTAATTCCACGGGGCCCTGAAATTTACAACTGAGTACTCATCTCAGTAGCCTTGAAGGAACTCGAACTGGTGACCACTGAGGAATAAACCTAATATTTGACCACTGAGCTACCCCTTAGGATTAGGTAAATGGGAGGATTTTTGAAGGACAAAGCCAGAAATTTCTGAATTTTGGAATATACAACTATGTTTTGGCATCATTAAGGTTTTCTACAGTCAAAGAGTCGAAGGCCATTATTTTCTCTTTCATTGTTCTTGGCTAGAAATATCGTTGCATGCTTGACTTCTTTTTTATTTACTTGATGTTTGAGCATTCCTTATACCCCTTAACAACTGTAATTACGCTTTCATAATTAATAATTCAAGTTTCTTATTAAAAAAATACACTTCATTCATAAAAAAGTTACACCCAGATACCAAGTTTTACAAACTAATCACATCCAAAAACCTTGAGGATGTGCAAGCACATCTATATACGCTTGCATTGTACTTTTCCCTTTTCCATTTTTCTCAACTCTAAAGTACAAAGACCGGGCCTGGCATGAAAATTATCCCCAAAATTTAGAGTACTTCTGGTTCCTCAATCCCAATCGTTATTTCCTGTTTAGCTTTGATTAAAAAAATCAGATGCAAAAGCAATTCTGCAAGGCTATTTCTAAAAGCAAATAATCATAACTACTGAATGAGGAGAAAGAAAACGACAAGATAAAAGCTTACAGTCATCCATCTACAACGTAACGCCACATCCCGAACTGTCTTATCTTTTAACGCCTGAGAAATTTTAGCATACCGAACAATGGGGGTATCCGAGTTATATCTGCAAAAGGGAGCATTCAGTAACGGATCAGTGTGCACTGTCCAAGCGTTATCCACAATAACATGAGACCAGCTACATGGGAATATTTTTGGAGCGGAATTATTCTTTCTAAATTGGCAGTAAATATGTCAAATAAATGAACGCTGATGTGAAATTCAGCAATTTGTCTTGGTCTGACCAAGAACATTGCTTTTCAAAGCTGTTGAGAGATGCGAATTAATAGATTAGAATTTTGATGAATTGGGAGCTGAACTTGAAAATGAGGCATTTCCTAAACCTCAAATCAACCATGTACTATGAAGAGTACTATTCTATCACAGTTCTCATTATGTGCAAGTTTGGAATTTATTGTCTCCATCACCTTGATATACAATTGAAATCACTACAAAAAGTTTGGATTTCTGAATGCTAATAACACTGTTTACTTAAGATAGGGGTATGATTGTAAGTTTGCTCATGTATTGATATTTCTTATCAATATAAAGGATATTATGGCAAGCCTCATTTTGTCTATCTAGGAGTAGAGAGAATCTAATAGAGAGGCGTGACTTTCCATACAATATGTAACTATTATTTTTCTACGTCGCTTATAGTGAAATCTTTGCTTATACAATTCAATTCATCCGATTACTACAAGGATGTTCACCCAATCCAGAATATGAACCATAAAAGAAAATACATATTAAACCAATCACAAGAAATCCTACAATTGCAAGTGGCCATACACTTGCAGTGAGAGTGAATCATATCAACGGGGCGTTTGTTTCCCATTTTTTGTAAAAATGAGAATAAAAAATATAGCCGTTATAGCCCCCACACAAGAGATAAAAATTCAAATTTGGTGGCTTGATGTGATGGTTAACCATCTTATTTTTCATTTTAATGGGGAAAGAATGGGAAACAAACAGGGGCCAAGTATTTGTTCTTAAGTGCTTTCTATTTCGTGTTATAATTGCTCTTGGTAATACTGGAATAGGCATTAATCCACAACCCAAAAATATAGACTTCTTTATTTCCTATTTTACTTGGTACAAATTAGCCAAAAACCAATATGTGGTATGTATACCCATAACAGTATTCGTCGTCCTCTGAAGACAGAAGGAACCCACATACCTGTTAGACTTCAAGATTTTTCTTTTTAAAGATTGCATAACTGTGCTTCCATTTCATAAATTGTTTTAGAAAGAGACGCTGATGTCAAATTTCAAACTTCTCAACACCCACAGGTGGTAAATAAACAACAATTTCGCTAGATATCCACCCAGAATCATCATCTTATACATACAAGTACGAATATTGATTATATCGACAGGAGAACACCCAAAGACCCAAATTCAACACAGAAGATTTAGGATGAAACTCGCCATAATTCAGGCAAGTTGAAATGATAGCAAAAAAATTATAAAAGGCCAGCACCCAAACGCGTAATAAACATGTTTGCATATAGGCATACAGTAATAACAGCAGAATCAAAAAGAAGAGAAGGAATCGGGAGCTAACTTTGAAAGTAAATTTTCGAGGGTGGACTGCTCTTCAGGAGACCAGTCGACCGACAAGCCGGGGTTGTGGCGGAGGGCAGCCTGGGTAGATCTCGCCATGGAATCCTCCTGCCCACCGTTGCTACTTCCAGCGCCACCATTAGCATTCTCCTGCCCGCCGCCATTGCTGTGGCCATTATTATCATTATTACCGTTGCTATGACCCGCTGAAGGATTCGCACTTGCAGCCATAAATAATTTACTCTGAAAATCAGAAATTTTTCTACAAATCTATTCCGTTTATTGAAATTTCGGTAAAATTAATGGAATTGACGAATATTTGTTCGAAATTTGGACCCATAAACAGCTGGAAATGATAAATTAACAGAAGAAATTGAGAGATTTATATATTTATTAAAGAAATTGGAGAAACATCAGGTAGAGAAAATCTGTACGGAACATGGATGTATGTATTCGGTTTTTGAATTTATAAATTATAAGCAGCTTTTTGTGTTTTATTATTGAAAATGGGCCTTTGAGGATTAGACTTTCCTGTAAAATAATTGAGGGCTTGGGTCGTTTTGTAAATTAAATATTATAACGAAGGTCCTTAACTTATTGAAGTTATATAAACGAATCCCTAACTTTTTTTTTTTTTTTTTTATACAATTAGAGCTTGGTTGTGTCCCAAAAAATAAAAGTTATTATTTTGTTAAACATAAATTTTATACTTATTTTTTAAATTGGCAAAAAATATTTCATAGTATCTAGAAAAATCATGAGATCCAAGCAAGCTTTCTATCTTAAATCCTTGTTTAGGCCCCATATCGGGGGAAGAATGTATTTTAAATAGTAGATTAATGAAGAATGTGTGATTAAAAATTAAGGAAAAGTTTTGAGTTTGCGTATAATATTATTTTATTGAAAAATGTGTGATTGAAAATGAGTTTTGAAAAAAAATAAATTTAGAAGAATAGGACCCAAACAAGGGCTTAAGTTTGTTTATATATTAAGGGCTTGTTTTATATAAATTTTTTTAGAATATGTTTTGTGAAAAGTTATTATTTAGAGAATTTGTGATTAAAAGTAAGAAAAAAATTATAATTTGCGTACAAAATTATTTTATTGAGAGAATGTAAAATTGAAAATAAATATAAAAAAAATAAATTTTAAAAAATTTGTACCGATCAGTTGCTAACTAAAACTGTGTATGCTGAGTAAATGAGCATACACTAATGAAACATTTAATTGACAAATTAACCAGCATTAATGGAACATTTAATTGAATAAGAAACATTTAACCAATTTTTTTCACTCTTGAAATTGTACAAATATAAATAAGGGTAAATTAGTAAAAATTTTAACAAAAATTGCTTTCCCAATAATATTTAATAAGATTTCTTAATTTGTGTAAAAAACAAAACCAACCTATATAAATGGGACGGAGAGTATATTTTTACATTGCTAAATTTTTTAAAGAATATTTTTCATTTTTTTAGTTGGAATTGCAATATGACCATGGTGAAATTTTGCACGTAGCACTAAATAAATGATATTTTGGTTGGCAGTATCATATAATACACGACAACATTAAAAAAATTAAAATTTCATCTATTATATTGTTTAGTCGTACTTTGTATTGTGTTGTGTAGTAAACGAAAGAGTTTTGATATATACACGTAGTATGATCATCCATTCAAATCAGTTCGAGTCATTTAAAATGTGAACCCACAACATCAAACCCCCACCCAATATATTTCTCTCTTACCACATCGATGACTAGAGGTTCTACCACAAGTGGATACACTGACGGAGCCAGCGTGGGAGCAATGGATTATTTCGATGAATGTTTATTATTAAAGGTGATTAATCATCCAACTTGTTTGTTATCTTACTACATTAAAGATATCAAAAGTCGTTGATTTAGATTATAATCATCCAACTTGTTTGTTTTCTAATTATTATTGGAACCTTACAAATATGATTTCTCTGTTGTAATTTTTGGGACAAACAGTTGTACAAATTCTATTTTGTACCTCAAATACTTTAAATTATATTATCCGAAATCAACTCTGTGGATTGATGACGTCAAATAAATTGTCTTGTTTTTGTTTATAATAAAACTGCATCATACACTTTATTATTATAATACTATTTTCCTATATATATAAAAGAGGAAAGAAAGGGTTGGACATGCGTCAAATACGTCCTGTACGGATTTGCTCTTTTTAATTCTCAAAATGCAATCAACCCATTTTCTGTACTCTTTTTTCTCCTTCTTCATTCTCTGGCGCAACCACCCACTCTTCCTTCATTTTTCCACGCAACACCTATCTTGTTTAGGCTTGTCTTCTCTTTTTCTTCTCTCTTTTGTTATAATCTTTCTCTTCGCTATTCTCTCAACTCTAATTTCTCGACATCTTGTGCAGATTTTTTTACTATGAATCCTAATGGATGGGTTTATCGTTTGTTTCCATATCTGTAAGATTCTTTTGGCCTTTTATTCTTATTTTCTTCCATTCATTCAATTTTGGAGAATGTAATAGCTCTGTGCATGTCCCTTATTTTTTTAAGAACAACAAAATGAAAAAAAATAAATAAATAATGCGAAAGCTTTGTTGCTCCATGACAATGGCTCCGTGCGTTGCGGGAGCTTTGCTCCGTGCTTTGTAGCAAACCATTGCCCTACTCCTACACTTCGTTCTCCAATTCACCAGGTTTCCTTAGTCACTTACTCTATTCCATAGGTAAAGTTTATTTCTTATATTTTTATCTATCATTTTGAGGGGTTGAGATTGTGGGTTTTGATTTTTTTTTTTTTTTTTTTTTTTTTTTTTTTTTTTTTTTTTATTTTATATTTTTTTTTTTTTTTTTTTTTTTTTTTTTTTGTTGAGATTGATTGAATCGAATACATTTGTTAACTAATGCATCGATTGTTGTTTGTGAAAAAAAGAATAATGTTATTTTGGGAATGGAATTTCACGAATTGGGATTTTGTTAATGCCAATATTATTTAATTAAAGTTGAAAAAAATTAGTTTTAAAAAAAGAATTAAAAAGAATTTTAAATCCAAAAAAATTATTTATAACATGAATAAAACAAATAAAAAAAATAGAAACCTCTTGGATTGAGGTTTTGGAAAGTTTTTTATTTTTAGTTTTTTAAATTCATTTTTTCTATCTCTATATTCTTAGGCGTTTAATTTTTTTGCCTTCTATGTTTTATTTAGTTATGTCATATTTTTTAGAACAGACAGAAAACTTCATATTTGGTTTAGTTCAATATTAAAATTGGTGGAATTGATGACTATTACTCTATAGCCTCTTGGGTAAGATTTTAAAAAGTTCAAACGATTTTCCAAAGACATTCATCTGAGAGTTCTTGCCGAATATTTAGCGATGGTCATATTACAGAGATATGGCAACAGGCTTGTAATTATGCAATCAGAGAAAATATTGAGAAAGTATGACTCTCTCCTACTATAATTTAATTTTCTGAACGTATCTATGAATATCTTAGATTTTTACGTGCCTTCAGACTTGAAACTTGTTTGGGAAGTGTTGATTTAAATTATAAATAAATATTATGTCTGTTAATCATCCTCCATAGATTTTTTGTTACATCAATTTATTGATATAATATTCCCCTTGTACTTTTTCTTATTTTCTATGCTGGATCTAAATTCCAATTCCAGTAGTTTTTTCTATGGACGGAAGCTTATTCCTTTGACACATTTAATCGAAAATGTAGAAAATCTAATTAAGACTCTAATTTCTTACTGGTTGCACATAACTGTTTGTTATAAATGAAATCTTAACTGAAAGTTCCAAATTATAGCACTTTCATTACGTCAATACATGTAACGTTGCACCAAAACATTTGTCTTATGTATCTGTTCAACCATGGGCGGACCCAAGGGGGGTCTTGGGGGGTCAAGTGACCCCCCAATTTTTGAGATTTTTCCTTCTTTTTTTTTTTTAATAAAGTCATGTTTGGTGTAGATTGAAATTTAAATTTTAATCTAAATCAAAGATAACAATTAATTTTAATGACATATATCATGGATTCCTTAACTTTTAAAATTTTATCAAAATTTACTAAAAATCGGACTTTAATCCCAACCAAATAGGGGTAAAATCACAATAAATTTGAATTTTCTTTATTTTTTATTGCTCAATATATTCTCTCCTTCAACCTTTTACCAGAATATTAACCCTTCTTACTTTTTAAAATTTGTTGATATTTTCTCTACATTATCACATCTACTACAAATTTTCATTTTTCAATCAAATTTTTAACTAGCTAGAACCTAAATTTGCATTTCTCTTATCCTACTTGTGTATATAGCACATGTCTAAACTGATTATATAAAATTTAATTTATATTTGACGAATTGTATTTATTTGACTGATTATTAATAGAGCGATGCCCAGTGTACAGGGGCTGCCTCACAGATATTTTACAGGGTCCCTCACTGTGCAGGGGCCCCACATGTATTAAAAAAAATTACGTGGATCCCACCTATGTGTGTGGCCTGTCATGTTCCTGTTTCCTTAAGCCCAGCATGACTCTTTTTTTTTTTTTTTTTTTAACGAGGTGTCCCAACTTGCGCCAGACTATATATCCTCGTCCCTGAACCTCCGGCCCCTTAACTGCTCAGGGAGGTAAATCGCAGGATGTGTCCTTATTGGTTCCCAGGTTCCCACATGGCTTTTACTCCTTACCCAAAGGAAGCCTCCTCCATGGTGATTAATCCACCAATAATTCCTCCTTTATTGGATCAAAGGTTCCCACCAGGAATCGAACTCCCCACGCTTGGTTCCAGAGTCCCCCAATGTGATTGTTCCGCCAACTTGGATGTGCCATGGGGGGCGGCCCAGCATGACTCTTATTAGTATTGAACATGGTTATATGCTTTTTCTTTCGATAACTTAAATTGATTGTTTGTATCAAATACATAATTTTTTAAAATATAAATATGCATTTGCATATGATGAGCAAAATATTAATATAATGGTTGTTCAAAATCAAATAAATGAAAATGATGAGCAAAATATTAATGAAAAAATATTTTTCAAATATAAATCTACATTTTTTCGGGTCAAATATGAATCATTCAAAAATTAAGAATAAAGTAGTTGATTTGCACAAAATTTGATTGTGCCCCCCTAACTCAAATTTTCTGCCTCCGTCCTTGTGTTCAACAACCAACACATGCTTATATTTAATATTCATCAACTAACGTGTAACACACGTTTATTTACTAGTAATGTATAAAAAATTATGGGTAATTGAAAAATATACTATTTTAATATTTCTCTCATAGTACTTTATTATAATTTTTTTAATTAAAATACTCTCCCACAAACGTACAAATACAATCCTGGCTCCACCCTCGAGTGCATTGAAGTTTTTTCTCATACTAATCATAGACCAAATTTTGGCTTTAGACGGTTACTAAACTATAAGCCCTCATTTGAGTCCCATTTTTTTCAAAATTTATTTTCAACCCCATAT